CTCTCTCTCCCCGTGTCTCTCTCCCCGTGTCTCTCTCTCCCCGTGTCTCTCTCTCTCCCCGTGTCTCTCTCTCCCCGTGTCTCTCTCTCCCCGTGTCTCTCTCTCCCTCTGTGTGTTTCTCTCTCCCCGTGTCTCCCTCCACGTGTCTCCCTCTGAGTTTCTCTCACAAGCACGACAGTCCCGTGTCTCTCTCTCCCTCTCTTCCCGTGTCTCTCTCTCTCCCCGTGTCTCTCTCTCTCCCCGTGTCTCTCTCTCTCCCCGTGTCTCTCTCCCCGTGTCTCTCTCTCCCCGTGTCTCTCTCTCCCCGTGTCTCTCTCTCTCCCCGTGTCTCTCTCTCTCCCCGTGTCTCTCTCCCCGTGTCTCTTTCTCTCCACGTGTCTCTCTCTCCCCGTGTCTCTCTCTCTCCCCGTGTCTCTCTCTCCCCGTGTCTCTTCCCCGTGTCTCTCTCTCTCCCCATGTCTCTCTCCCCATGTCTCTCTCTCTCCCCATGTCTCTCTCCCCGTGTCTCTCTCCCCGTGTCTCTCCCCGTGTCTCTCTCTCCCTCTGTGTCTCTCTCACATGCACGACAGTCCAGTGTCTCTCTCTCTCTCTCCCCGTGTCTCTCTCCCCGTGTCTCTCCCCGTGTCTCTCTCTCCCTCTGTGTGTCTCTCTCACATGCATGATAGTCCCGTGTCTCTCTCTCCCTCTGTGTGTCTCTCTCCGTCCCTCTCTCTCCCCGTGTCACTCCCTCCCTCTGTGTGTTTCTCTCCCCGTGTCTCTCTCTCTCTCCGTGTCTCTCTCTCTCTCCCCGTGTGTCTCTCTCTCCCTCTGTGTGTCTCTCTCCCTCCCCGTGTCTCTCTCTCCCTCTGTGTGTCTCTCTCTCTCCCCGTGTCTCTCTCTCCCCGTGTCTCCCTGTGTGTGTTTCTCTCACATGCACGACAGTCCCATGTCTCTGTCTCCCCGTGTCTCTCTCCCCGTCTCTCCCCCCGTGTCTCCCTGTGTGTGTTTCTCTCTCCGTGTCTCTCTCTCCCTGCGTGTATTTCTCTCCCCATGTCTCTCCCCGTGTCTCTCTCTCTCCCCCGTGTCTCTCCCCGTGTCTCCCTCTGTGTCTCTCTCTCCCCGTGTCTCCCTGTGTGTGTCTCTCTCACATGCACGACAGTCCCGTGTCTCTCTCTCCCCGTGTATCTCTCCCTCTGTGTGTCTCTCTCTCTCTCTCTGTGTTTCTCTCTCTCTCCCCGTCTCTCTCTCTCCCCGTGTCTCTCCCCGTGTCTCCCTGTGTCTCTCTCCCCGTGTCTCTCCCCGTGTCTCTCTCTCTCCCCGTGTCTCTCTCTCCGTGTCTCTCCCCGTGTCTCTCTCCGTGTCTCTCTCCGTGTCTCTCTCCCCGTGTCTCCCTGTGTGTGTCTCTCTCTCTCCCCGTGTCTCCCTGTGTGTGTCTCTCACACGCACGACAGTCCCGTGTCTCTCTCTCCCCGTGTCTCTCTCCGTGTCTCTCTCCGTGTCTCTCTCTCCCCGTGTCTCCCTGTGTGTGTCTCTCTCACATGCACGACAGTCCCGTGTCTCTCTCTCCCTGTGTCTCTCTCTCCCCGTGTCTCCCTGTGTGTGTCTCTCTCTCTCCCCGTGTCTCCCTGTGTGTGTGTCTCTCTCTCTCCCCGTGTCTCTCCCCGTGTCTCTCCCCGTGTCTCTTTCTGTGTTACTCTCTCCCTGTGTGTCTCTCCCCGTGTCTCTCTCTCCGTGTCTCTCTCCCCGTGTCTCCCTGTGTGTGTCTCTCTCTCTCTCCCCGTGTCTCTCCCCGTGTCTCCCTGTGTGTGTCTCTCTCTCTCCCCGTGTCTCCCTGTGTGTGTCTCTCTCTCCCCGTGTCTCCCTGTGTGTGTATCTCTCTCTCCCCGTGTCTCCCTGTGTGTGTCTCTCTCACATGCACGACAGTCCCGTGTCTCTCTCTCCCCGTGTCTCTCTCCGTGTCTCTCTCCCCGTGTCTCCCTGTGTGTGTCTCTCTCTCTCCCCGTGTCTCTCTCTCCCTGTGTCTCTCTCTCCCTCTGTGTGTCTCTCTCTCTCCCTGTCTCTCTCTCTCTCTCCCTCTGGGTGTCTCTCTCTCCCCGTGTCTCTCCCCGTGTCTCTCTCTCTCCGTGTCTCTCTCCCCGTGTCTCCCTGTGTGTGTCTCTCTCACATGCACGACAGTCCCGTGTCTCTCTCTCCCCGTGTCTCTCCCCGTGTCTCTCTCTCCCCGTGTTTCCCTGTGTGTGTCTCTCTCTCTCCCCGTGTCTCCCTCTGTGTGTGTCTCTCTCTCTCCCCGTGTCTCCCTCTGTGTGTCTCTCTCACATGCATGACAGTCCCGTGTCTCTCTCTCTCTCACCGTGTCTCTCCCCGTGTCTGTCTCCGTGTGTCTCTCTCCCCGTGTCTCTCCCCGTGTCTCCCTGTGTTTCTCTCCCCGTTTCTCCCTGTGTGTCTCTCTCTCCGTGTCTCCCTCTGTGTGTTTCTCTCCCCGTGTCTCTCTCCCCGTGTCTCTCCCCGTGTCTCTTTCTGTGTGTTTCTCTCTCCCTGTGTGTGTCTCTCTCACATGCACGACAGTCCCGTGTCTCTCTCTCCCCGTGTCTCTCTCTCCCCGTGTCTCCCTGTGTGTGTCTCTCTCTCCCCGTGTCTCTCTCCATGTCTCTCTCCCCGTGTCTCCCTCTGTGTCTCTCTCTCTCCCCGTGTCTCCCTGTGTGTCTCTCTCTGTCCCCGTGTCTCTCCCCGTGTCTCTCCCCGTGTCTCCCTGTGTGTCTCTCTCTCTCCCCGTGTCTCCCTGTCTGTGTTTCTCTCTCCCCGTGTCTCTCTCTGTGTGTCTCTCTCACATGCACGACAGTCCCGTGACTTCAGCTCCTTGCACCCTCTGGCAGGTTCCTCCGTTGAAGCAAAACCCGTGCTGGAGTTTCGGTTCGCAGGGGTGGAGGTGCCCCGTGCCTGCACACAGAGACGTTGGGAGAGATGGCGGGGAAGGGGGCAACGTGTGGGAGAGACACGGGGTGGAGGGAGAGAGACACGGGGTGGAGGGAGAGAGACACGGGGTGGAGGGAGAGAGACACGGGGTGGAGAGAGAGAGACACGGGGTGGAGGGAGAGAGACACGGGGGGAGAGACACGGGGAGAGAGAGAGACACGGTGAGAGACACGGGGAGAGAGAGACACGGGGGTAGAGAGACACGGGGAGAGAGATACACGGGGGGAGAGGGAGAGAGACACGGGGTGGTTGGAGAGAGACACGGGGGTAGAGAGACACGAGGAGAGAGAGACACGGGGAGAGAGATACACGGGGAGAGAGGGAGAGAGACACGGGGTGGTTGGAGAGAGACACGGGGTGGAGGGAGAGAGACACGGGGAGACACGGGGAGAGAGCAACAGAGAGACTCAATAATTGTTTGGCAGCTACTCATCTGCCAGTTCATGTTCTAAGATTCACACGAACAAAGGTCCCCCGTATAGTCTCATAAAAGCTGTTGGGGCAAGTGCTGTTAATGATCATCAGTTCCTATAGAGGCCGGCACAGCACACGAGGGGGTGGGTGGCCAGCACCACGCACGATCGCCTTTGTCTCCCCTGAAGCGATGAAATTCTCACTTGCAACTTTCATCAGCTAGCCGAGACCAGGCCACTGTGGATTATAAATAATAGATGGGCACCCATCACCACAGTGGAAGAATGGCAGCTACATCTTAAAGATGCCAAGCCAAAGGTCCATGGGGCAGACGAGCTCCAGGGTAGGTCCTGGTGTCAAGGACATGTGCCCAAAAATCCACTGGGGTCCATCACTTCATAGTCTAGCAGATGTCCTTGCTTGGCCCCAGCGTGCATCCATGATGTTGTGTAGATGTGCAAATGCCGGAACGACGTTGGTGATTAAAGGTCGCGGTCTGAGCTTGGCTGTGTTCACTCCAGCGCTGTCCTCGAGAGAGTCTGGTCCCTTCACCTGATGAAGGCCGCTTGTGTTGTGGCCGAAACGTTGTGAAATTTTGTTGTTTTATTTTTTTACCTACGTGACTTTACCGAATACAACCAAAGAGTATGGATCCTTGCAGTCACGAAAGCTTCAAATCTAGGATTAAAAGCCCATAGGCCGCACAGAAGTCTAGCAGCCCCCTATCGTTATATTTGTTGCCGAGCTGATCCGACTCATGCCTTCCAATCACTCTAGCCCAAGTCCCCAAGTCATTACCCTCTCGGGCATTAAAGTCCCACACAAAGATCCCCCGTGTAGCCTGTAACAGACTGTAGGGGCGAGTGCTGTTAGCGAGCACCTATGAAGGCCGGTAACGGTGCACGAGGGGGGTGGGTGGCCAGCACCACGCCCGACCGCCTTTGTCTCCCCAGTGGCGATGTTTTTTTTATCCACCGCACCAGGTACTCATTTGAGGCTGAGTCGACCTAGGGGAGGCCCGGGGCCGGTTCAGATAATCGTCCACCGGTGTTGGCCGTGAGCAGGGAAATCGAACCCGGGTCGCCAGGTTCGTAGCGCAGCGCAGCGTAGCGCTAACCGCTACACCACCGCTCCCCCACACTCTCACTCACACAGACTCACATTCTCACTCACACATAACAACAACCGGCGTTAGCCAATAAGTGACATTGGCATTACCATGGCCCTTGTACAAGCTGAAGCCACGTGAAGCATCGAAGGCCCGCTGGCAGGTCATGGGGCAGACCCAGGTGCCACGGGCACCACCGGTGCCCCCTACTGTGCCAATGCACACACAATCGCTCATATACAACAACAACCGCCATTCGCCACTACGTGGCGGTGACGTCACCACGACGCTTGTGCCAGGCTATGTGTACCCTGAGGCCACGTGAAGTGTCGAACGCCCGCTGGTAGGAGGTCACGGGGCAGACCCAGGTGCCTCGGGTCCACTGACTGAGATGAGTGACTGATGCACCACCTGTCGCCCCCTACTGTGCCAACCTGCTGTGCTTGAGCCACCCGGCGCTCCGCTCGTTTTTCTGAGCTTTGCTCCTCCGCCCTCCGTTGTTGTTGGAGGGTGACTGCCTCAAACTGCCCAGTAGTAGCGTCCTTCACGAGCCTCCTCCATAGAGGCCGATTTTGACACTGCTGGTACCAGTCATCGGCAAATCCACTCAGCTCCACATCATCCTGTACCATATCACTTCATCTCTTCTCTAGCCCATGCCGCGTCCATTTAGTCCCCTCTATCCGGCCGAACAAAAGCTGTTTCGGCATGCGGTGGCTTAACATGCAGGCTACATGACCCAGCCAACGCAGCTTGCCTGCCAGAGGAGCTCACCGATGGAACTTTGGCCAGATCTTTAAAGGATATGTGAGCTCCTCACACAATCCAGCCTGGTTAAACCCAGGATGGATCGTAAGCAGGCCAACCTAAATGTTTCTAACCGGCGAAGATGTTCCATTAAGGGGGGGTCCACGTTTCGCAAGCGTAGAGAAGGGAGGGAATGGCCGTGGCCGAGAAGACCTGAAGCTTAGTGCGGAGCGACAGACCAGGTAGCTTCCACACACAGCGTTACGCAACCGATGAAAAGATATTGCCGCTCGACCGATTCGGAGTGAGAGCTCTGCTGTCAAACCGGAGCCAGTCATGAGCACACTGCCCAGGTATGGGGAAACTCTCCACTCTCTCCACAACTGCCCCATCACCGATTGGGAGTTGTGGGTTGTAGAGGGCGCGGTAGCAGAGGCAAGCGATCTTGAAGGAAATCCTGGTCGGAATGGGCAGCCAACGTAGGGCACGACGCATGGACAGGGAGTCAGGGGCGTAGACAACTGACGTCATCTGGTCGAGCAACCAATTGGTGGGTCGAGGCTATAAAAGAAAGCCGTCCCTTGGTGTGGACCAATCAGTTTCAAGGACAATGCATCATCATATTATATTATCATAGTGTTTTTTTTTGCATTTTGACTGCAGGTATTGTGGTTAATGCAGTAAACATGAATCCTTGCAAAAAAAAAGTTTCAGTTGTTGCCAGAAAAAAGGGGAAAAACCCTATTATTATATTTTGGTACTGGCAAAGGGAGGTCTAATGATGTAGATGCTCACCCAGAGCCCTCATTACTTTGATAGCGGCATTGTCTTTGAGTCGTGTAACGCCTTTTGGCGTCATCTGGTCGAGCACCAATTGGGTCGAGGCTCAAAAGAAAGCCGTCTCTTGGTGTGGACCAATCAGTTTCAAGGATAATGCATCATCATATATGATCATAGTGTGGTTTTTGTTTGCATTTTGACTGCAGGTATTGTGGTTAATGCAGTAAACATGAATCCTTGCAAAAAAAGGTTTCAGTTGTTGCCAGAAAAAAGGGGGATAAAACCCCTATTGTCATTACAACTCGGTCAATGTGATTTTGGAAGCGTCGCAGATTTGTTTTGTTTTGTTTGCTTGCTTAGAGCGGACCGGACGAGGGCCGTGTTGCAATAGTCTAGCCGTGGCCCAACGACGCTGCGGGCAAGAGGCATTTTGCGATGTTGGAGGTGACGGGCGGACGTAGATGGCGGAGGGACCCAAGATGGAAGTTGCAGGACGTGAGGACGAGGTTGACGTGGGCGTCCAAGGAGGGGACTGGGATCCAGAGCGACGCCGGGAAATGTCACACACCTCGCGCTCCACACAGCAGCACTGACACGAAACGCATTGGCGGTGTAAATCAGGGGAGACATCTCTCTCTCTCTCTCTCTGTGCTCCCTCGTAATCTTTACAGCTCCCCCCGGCACTTTCCCCTTTCCTCTCTGTCCCTCTCTCTTAAATCTCCCCGAATCTCCATGGCTTTCTCTATAATCCCCGCTCATCCCCTCTCTCTTAAATCTCCCTGCCTCCCCCTCCTCCCTCTCTCTCTCTCTTAATTCTCCCGTTTTCATCCCTCGCTCTCTCTCTCTTCAATCCCTCTCCGGCATCTCTCTGCATCCCTCCACTCTCCCCCTTCAAAGCCCTGAGGCTCTCTCTCAAATCTCACTGTACTCTCCATGGCTCTCAGTCCTCTCCCTCCCTTGAATGTCTCCCTTCCGCAACATCCACCCTCTCTCCCTTTCCTCTCCCCGCTCTCTCCTCTCTCCATTTTATCCTCTCACCCCGCTCTCTCCTACCCCAGCTCTCGCCTCTCTCCCGGCTCTCTCCTCTCTCCCCACTCTCTCCTCTCTCCCCGAGCTCTCCACCCACTCCCAAGGGACCAGAATGACAAACGCCTCCGTTCCTACAGCTCCTCCCACTCTCCCTTCTCTCTCCATCTTCTCTGCTCTCCCTCACTCTCCCTTCTCCACCTCCTCGCTCTCCTCCTGCTGCTCCCCCTTCTCATTCTCCTCCAACTCTCCCTTCTCTCGGTCCCTCTCTTCCATATCTGTCCCTTCTCTCTCCTTTCCTCCATTCTCCATCTCCCCCCCCCCTCTCTCCTCCCCACTCTCCCTCCTCCGTCTCCCCCCTTCTCATCCATCTCCCACCCCTCTCTCCCTTCTCTCTCTCTCTCTCCTTTCTCTCCTCCCACTCTCCCCCCTCCCTCCCTTCTCCATCTTCTCCCTCCCTCCCTCCCCCTTATAAATGTGGGCTCTGTGCAGATCTCCTGGGAGGCCCATGTGCATTCACCATTAGCATCGCCGCTCAATAGAGACCGGGGCCTCTCTCTCCCCCCAAACACGTACACAGCCTGACTCATTGCATCTGTGCACACACTCGTACATGCACACACCTCTCTATATATATAAAAAACACAAAGACTGTTGGGGAAAGTGCCGTCAGCGAGGCGCGCCTATGAAAGCCGGCATGGTCCGTATGGGTGTGGGTGGACAGCGCCACGCTCGATGTTTTTGTCGATGTTGACACACCGCACCAGGTGCTCATTTGAGGCCGAGTCGAGTTCGGGGAAGCCCAGGACCGGTTCAGATCATCGCTATCGCCGGCGTTGGCCGTGAGCGCGAATCGAACTCGGGTTACCGGGATCGTAGGGCAGCGTGC